GCAAAAAAATGTGTTTATTTACGACATCACATTACAAACCTCTAAAATTATCAGTGTTTCTCTACTATATTATACATGTATTATACACATAAATCTTCGTCTTGAATTACTCTCTCTATTAAAAAAAAAAACGCATTAAAATCCGTTGCATAGTTTTAAAGATCTAAGCATACATAGGGACAGACAGCGGGGGAAATACGTTGCATAATTTCGTTACATGCCAACTCGCATGAAACGAACTTACCCTACCGTGCGTAAAGAAGTTTCACTTCAAAAAAAAATATTAGCCTAACGGCTTGGTTTTGACAGTATAATTTTCTTAAAATTCCACACTTCAGAAAAAATTCACGACAAAGTGGAATATACAAGGTTTATTACCAATTGTACCAGCCACATTTGAATATATTGTCTACGCTATTGGCCTACTGTCTTTAAGGTGTACAATAGGTCTAATTTAAAATTATGCAAAAAATTCTTTAAAGAGATGCCTCAATTAATTTTGTGAAAATCTTGTATAAGAGATTTGTTATAGACAGATATTAAAAAATGTCTGTCAAAATTTGAGCCTTAAACTTCAATTTTGAAAAGTCTCACCAATGTTAATAATATTGCTTTATTTAGATTTCTATAATTTTCATATTTTTAAGAAATGTGGTCCCCACTTGACAGTATCTACTATTTGTAAGGTATTAACAATTTGTCAATTTTTATATAAATTTTTACTCATCGTTATCTAATTAGGTTTTGGGCTTTTTTATTGCAAAAAGCAAAATTTCAAATTCCCCTTCCAAAGCCGAAAGTAAGAAAAGGAGGAAGATTGGAAACTACAGAAAGGTATACATACCTCTTGATGGAAAATTAAGATTTTCAATAATTTTTGCAGATTAAGAATGTAAATTGTTTTCTTTTTAATCAGCCTCTATTATTATGTTAGCAGATACATTATTTACAATAATAATTTCACTCTTTTTCCGCTGTAAATATTAAAAGAACTAAATTGCACAATACATTTGACAGTTCAAAACATTTTCATAAAAGTTAAATCCAATATAGAGTATCACTTTTAAATATAACTGACTGTATTTACTGGTATAATGATCGCTCTTTATGAAAATAAACCAACCTTACGAATAGTAAAAATTAAAAAATAAAATAGGTTAATAGTGCCGTCTCATCCAACTTCAGGATAGTGAAGTGTCAGTTAATGTCAATATCTATTTGATACTGTCACGCGGTATTTTGTTACTTTTGGTTTTTTGTTAATTATCTATTTTAATTACCTGGTTATAATGCATTTTGATTATTTTGTCGTGACTAGGCGTAAGGTACTAAAATGATAAGAAACGCGAAATTGGAAAACAATAACAATTTTAATATATGGAATTATATGGAGAATTAAATAGAAACGTTCACAAAAAGGATCTTTCTCCCAATATAGACCGTTAAAGTTGACACTACTTACATTGATAGGAGCGTTGTAATCATCCCGATCAGGAGGTAGTGCCACCAACACTTAGGATTTTCCACCGGTTATGCTCTTAAGGGTAGATCGAGTCTTTTTCTTAATGCTTTCCCGAGTCGACTCGTTAAACGCTTAACTTTTTGATAAACCAGTGATTATTTTGCACTTAGTTCAACATGGGTCACTCACTGGTTCTAGAAGTTCCTTTGGTTTAGCTGACTTAACGAAAAACTGACAAAATTTGCGATACTAACTAGGTTAGAAACCCTCTTTATCTTTTTTGATGACTTCGTAAATAATTTTCACAATAATAATATACAGGGGCAAAAGATTAGTATGCTTAGAATTGCAGATGATACAGCAGTATTAGCATCTAGCAAGGACTTAGAGATAGCTTTAAATAAAATGGAAGCGGTACTGACAAAACAGTAACAAATAAAAGTAAAACTAACATACTGGTATGCAAGGGAAGAAAAAGTAGGGAAAGAGCGAATATAAAGATAGGGAACGAAAAATTAGAAGTGGCCGATTTTAGGTACCTATCTAGGAAGCCAGAAGTCAGGACGGAAGAATGGGTAGGGATATAAAGCAGAGGATAGCGCAGGGTAGTGTTGCCTTTAATAAAAGAAAGTCACTTCTATGCGAAAGGTCAATTTAGAAATTCGAAAAGGTTGTTGAAGGTGTATGTTTGGAGCACGGCATTGTACGGGTGCGAAACATGGACGCGGCGGAAAAGAAAAGATTAGAAGCGTTGAAAATGTAGTGATATAGGCGAATGATGAGGATAACGTGGATAGAAAAGGTTAGAAATGAAGAGATATTAGAAAGAAGAGGAGAACAGAGGACTCTATGGAAGTCAATAAAAAATAGGCGAGATAGGTTGGTAGGACATCTTCTCAGGCATGAAGGTCTAGTCAGACACATATTAGAGGCAGAAACGGGAGTTAGGAGGGGTAGAGGTAGACCTAGATGAGGTTACTGTTCGCGAATAGTTAAGGATGTGGGTTGTTCTAGTTTTGGGGAAATGCGAAGTTTAGCTCAGAGTAGGAAAGAGCGAAGGTAGGTGTCCAACCAGTCTTACGACTGACAATCTTATGATAATGAACCAGAACTATCGAACTTGCGTAAATTTCCGCTTGTACATAGATAAAATTCTTTTCACTTACTGTTTCGTTGCTGCTGAATGCCAAATACGCGTATTTTGCAAATAAATAAACTCAATATCTATTTTATAAGTTTCGAAAGAATTGCATAGTTATGATTATGAAATATTTAATTAATAATAAAACGTAAACCAACAAAAAAAAAAATGAAATTGTACAAAAGCTTTGAGCTCCCAGTTATCAGATGTCTCCAGGAACCATCGGCTGCAGTTACCTGAAGTACCTCTAGTGGTTAACATTCTAATTAATCACATTGGATGCTGTTAACGGGTCACACTCATTGCACACAATTAGTAAAAATAATTATTAACAAATTACAATAGAAATTGTCAGTTCGTGCCTACCAGGTTGAAAATTTCGCTCAAAGAAATCTGAAGAGTATTAACAGTCGATGCCACGCATATACGGTGATTTCCCGTCATAAGCACATTTAATATCTTCTGACTACAAACAAGCAGCCAATAGAACATCGATGTACAGTTAAACCCTTGCCCCTAGTTGTGGATCACACCATCACCCATGACACTTCTAATTAGTATATAAGCTCATACATTTTCTGTCTCATCAGCATCCTACTTTATAAGTCTAACCTATGTCAGTTTGTTCACTTGTCATCAGTAGTGTGTGATACTTAAAATATAAAGTGTAATAAGGGTTTCCGTAAAAACCGAACCTAACAAATTTGTTAAGATAGTGAGATCCTACAAAATATATGTCTATTTATTCAAATGGACCTTGTTGAGCATATTGAATTCCACTCAAAGTAGCATGGTACTATAGATGGCGTTTACCGCGCCATTTGTAGGATTTCATAAAATATACTGTGTTAAGGCAGCAAGTAGAGTTGGTATGTGTTCTGGCCAACCCTACAGTTCTTAACAAATTTAGTTCAGACAACCTTTCTATCCTAATCGAAATCGGCCGCCCAATTTACAACCCCCCAAAGCTAACATCTTCGTTAGATTGGCTTGAGACATCTTCTTTTAAGTGCACTCAAATTCGCACAATATAGAAACTCGATGAAGCTGTAAATCTCCTCTCAAACGAGATCATCAGCGCCGTCGAGCGGACCACGACTACCCGCCCCTCCACCGCCCCAGTCAATACTCACCCCGCAGACATTCTTGACCGCCTTAAGAGGAAAAATAAAGCCCGACGTCTGTGGAATAGACAGCGCGTCCACGCACACCGTGCTGAAGTAAACGCCCTTCAACGAGAACTAAAAAATCGCCTCCTCGAATTCCGCAGCACATCCTTCGATGATTATATCGCTCAGGCAGAAACAAACCCCCGAAGCACTTGAAAAGTGATCCGTTTTCTTCGCCACTAAAACAGAACGGTTACATCTATTCTTCAGACGAAGAAACAGCCGCAATCATCAATCAATCAATTATGTCTCCAGTGCTCTCCACTACCTAGTCCAGTGGACTTTGCCGACTTTCACGAGCGTATTAAAGCCGTCTCCCTGAACTTCGTCCCCCTTGAATCCGACTTTAGACATACTACATCCCATAAAATCTCCCTTACTATCTGTTCTCTGAAAAAGACGGAATTTACAACGGAGTACCCAAAGTCCTGCCGCCAAAGCACATAACCGCATTGTGCAACATCACAAACGCCATCATGCGGCTCCACCATCACTTCCCTTTGGTATGGAAAGAAGCTACTGTCATCGGTCTCCTCAAAAAAGGGAAGCCCCTTAGCTCTCCCTCAAGCTACAGGTCCATCAGCCTGCTCAGCTCGTTGAGCGAAGTAGTTGAATTAATCCTTCTCGATCGGCGCTTCGACCACGTGGTGCAAAACAACCCTCTCCCCGATCATCAGCACGACTCCCGTAGGCATCACGGCACCGGCTATCAACTTTTTCGCGTATCCGAATACATTTCCGACAACCTTAACAAGCGGCGTCTAACCTTCATACTTCTTCTTGACGTCCAACAAGCGTTCGACAGAGTCTGGCACGAAGGACAAAAAGTTTTCTCAAAACTCATCGCCCTTAACATTCCGCATTTTCTAGTTGGGGTTATCAGGTCCTTTCTCACAGACAGAATCCTTTGGGTCCGCGTTGGCTTTGTTCTCTCTGCCAGTAAACCCGTCACAGCCGGTGCCCCACAAGGCTGCAAACTATCGCCTATTCTGTATAACCCGTTCTGTGCGGATATGCTCTCCGACACTTCTATTTTGATAGCTCCCCCTCCCCAATACCCCCCACGCTTAACCATTTTTCCTTCTCAACCGTCTCCCTAATCCCAACCTTTCATTCTCTTCCCGGGGATGAGTAACCCTCAGGGTTTATCTCCCCAATCGAGGAGGGGTTATAGTCGATAAAAATCCGACACTACCTCCTTTCAGGAGGTGTCTTTTGAAAATTTCCAATCATCGAGAATCTAATCTAAACAAAAAGAAAGGTTTGTGCTCTGTCGTAACTGTCTGCGACGCGCTAATGAAATCCAACAAGATCGAAATCGCGATCCGCGTCTGGCAATTTCGACAGAATACTGACCACTTCAAATTTCTTTGTTCGAACTACCTTTCTAACTATACAAGTCTGAACAGATCTGTATCGCCAGTAGTTAGGTTAGGTTAGGCTATTCAATTTTTTAGGTTTTTCTCTTACTTCATTTGTCGTTCTGAGGAATATTTTCCATTAATAGAAATATGATGTATGCCACACCAAGAAAGGCATTTACTAAAAAATAACACTTTACGTTTGAAATACTTATAGAATATCTGATTTAATTTCTATAAATTATGTTGTTTCTTAGACATGTCTCATTGATCTGTCAAAATTTAAGTTAATAATAATAATAAAGAAGCTTCTAATAAGTGGTTAAAAAAAGAAATATATTCATGATAGCGATTCAGGACAAAATAATAAAAACAAAAGCTATGAAAAATATGTTATTAAAAATCCCACAATTTCATCGGACACATGCCGAGCATGCAACACACCTCACGCAACAATTGACCACATCTCTGAGGGTTGCTGATTTTTAGCCAGCCGACAATATATCGACAGGCATAATAATGTTGCTAAACAAATCCACTCGCTGTTAGCCAAAAAGTTTAAACTCAAGATCAGATAGAGCCGTACTACAAATGCAAACCACAAAATGTATTAAAAAAGCTTTATTGGAATAGAGACATAATTACAGACAAAACTGTAAACCATAACTGACCTGATATCACACTGACCATCAAAGAAATTAAAACAATTTACCTAATAGATGTTGCTGTACTAAACACTAAAAATCCTAAACAACAACATATTGAGAAAATTCAAAAATACATTCCTTTGGCAGATGAAATGTGGTTCCTTTCTTCAGGGACTGAAGTGAACTCAAACTCCCTGACGAAGGTAACCTTCTTACCGAAAAGTGCTTCGAATTACTACAGTGTCGTGTTTTGGCGTTGGGGTTTTGAGCTATTTTGTTTGTTCTACAACAACCGCCAAAGTTTTTCCAATATTCATAAATCGCACGGTGAGTTCAGA